CCTCGATCTGTAAGTTGGCAAGGAAAGAGTCTGAGTCAGGAGCGAGAGCCATGCCAGCGATCCGCTTGACTTCACTCCACCACTGGTTAGCCTTGGTTATTGCTTTTCCTTGCACAAAGATCTGCAGCCAAAACACCGCTTGTAGTGTTATTCAGACGGCTTACTTTATATTTGGGAAACCTCTACAAGGAAAAGAACTCTAAAAGGAAGACCTCTAAAAGGAAAAGAAAAACAAACAAACGAACAAACGAAACCCAAAACGTAACTTAACAATTATTAGTTATTTTTAATAATTGTTAAGTCAATTAATTATTATGCTTATTAATTAAGCATAATAATCACTGTCTTCTTCATCTAACGCTGAATGTCGCTCACACACCCAAAACTTAGGTCATAAGAGAAACCGGTGAAAGAGAATAAACATCATGACCACCAACTTTGACATGTGAGAACTATTATTTGGGTATTTGTTGACAACTATCACTACGATCTACAAATTATTTATTTAATTTATTTTCATTTTTTTTTAACCGATCCTCGATCATCGATCCGCGATCCTGGTCTTCCAGTAAACCTCGAATTTTTTACTCATTGAGACTGTTCGTTTTTTCGACCACTGAAGTAATCACTTGTACCAAAGTCAATCAACGCTTTCAATACGATGGAATTCGAGGACCGACCCGTTCCGGAAAAGCTTGATATGGGATTTCTATTCTATGGACAAGAAGTGCTGCAAGTAGAGTGCCTGATAGTCGATTACCAGCAAAGCTACTCGTATAAACACATCCGTGACACATACGTAACTTCAGACGGGTAGTTGAAATTGCTTCCAGTAGTAGTCGAAGGTTAAATCATTGATATCTCTGACAAGTATTTTTATAAAGTGCAACGCGACTTCACATCTTAACAACTGCGAAAATTGATCAATTAAATCACGCATACAACAAAGTGAATTTATTTAATTGAATGTAACACCCCAATACACCGCAGAACAGGATTTCCCCGCTATAATATTTTCTCATCCTACTCGGGGTATTTACTTTTTAATACGCGTGCTAATTACACGAAAATCAAGAGACTCGATTCGGGGAAAATTACATCATTGCCAAACAGCGAAAACGTGATAAACTTACATGCGTCATTTCAGTCATCGCAAAAAATAAACCGCATGGTCATCACGAGACTCATTTGCATGCAATCAAAGTCATCACGATTCTTATCCCCAGTTTCCACGGTCTCCGCTAGGAGCGCCTGGTGGCATGGCCTCCTATTTGGTAACCACACACAGAAAAAAGAAAAAAAGAAACGCCTCCATTTTTAGAGTCTCGCTCTGCTAGAGCAAGCTCGACTAATGAGTCATTCTATACAAATAAGTCTTGTGATGAGCATGCAGTTTAAGTTATTTTCGGCGATGACTGAAATGACGCGCCCGTGTTTATCACGTTTTGGATTTTTGGCAATGACGTAATTTTTCTCGAATCGAGGCCCTTGATTTTCGTCTACAGTGGAACCTCAATTAAGCAGCCACCCATTTCCAAAGCGGCCAGTAATCAAAGTCCCGAAATAATTTTAGGGAAAAAGGAAATTAAATCTCCATTATTTTCATTGGCGGCCGTCCCAACGAGAGTTCTCCTCTTGTTCTCCCTTTGTTGTCACCTCTCTTAAGCGGTAATCAAGCGCTTGGTATACTTAGTTGTCTTAATTTTAACAGTATGGTGAAGGAAAATCTGTCCGAGATAGAAAGTGACGACCGATTGTGGACCAGTAGTGCTTCTCCTGTGGCGCTTTTCTTTCAAAATCGGTGATGTTTCTGCTAACGATTATGCCAATTTGGGAAGAACCCTTATTGAGCGGCCAACCTCCATTTTAAGCAGCCACTTGCTGGTGCGCCGAGGGTAGCCGATTAATGGCGGTTAAACTGTATTTACGCACGCGTACTCAGACAATTGAGAAACAAATCGTTCAATACGAAATAAGAAACAAATACCTGGGTTCTTGCTCTTGCTTAGAGAAAGGACCCTGGTTGCGGCTGGTCACTTGGCTGCCAATATCCTGGAGCCGACAAGAATTTACCTTTTGGGAGGGGTAGTAGGGTATAAAATTGTCCCTGTTGTGAGAATAGGCACAAAATACGCTGGAGAGCTTCACGCAAGAGAGGCTTTACTTTGAAGTAAATCGGTCATCAGAGCAAGTTTATAGGCAAGGTTTTCCATATCATACACGTACCTCGACCTGAAAATGGTTCAAGTTCTTGTTGGCTCGCGGAAAGTAAGTTTACGTCGAAAACTTTCGGTCTGGGCATGAAGCAAGGTCCAAGAGACTATAAAGGGGACAGAGAGGGTATCCCCCATATACACCCTATTCCATAGGTAATTCGTCTCGAGTTATTTTTAGAATCGGGATAAAGTTACCTCGCACGAGGCGTGGATGTTTCGTGGAGGTTTCGCATGACCAAACGCCGTGCAAAACATGTCGGGCGAGAGGCAATGAAAGCGTAAAAAGATCGAGAGCATTCCTGATGAATACTGAAGCGAAATGAGTCGGCGCTCACCTGGGAAAAAGGAATCGCTGGACTCTTTGACAACCCGTGAAATCAGTTTAACTCGAAGTTGTCGTAACCTCAGTGCTTTAATAAAATGAGAAATTTCGCCGGTCTATTGAAACCGGTCGTTTGTACAATTTAGGGAGTTTAAGAGCCTGTTTACATGGAGTGGGGGACCCCGGTCTAGTGGGGTAAGATTCTTTTGTTTTGTGTCCCCCAGAGCGTGAAAACAAAAGAAACTTACCCCACTAGACCGGGGTCCCCCACTCCATGTAAACAGGCCCTAAGATCCAACGACGCGGACGACAACTAGAACGTCAAAAAAAACAATAGGTTTAATTAGCAAAACAACAACTTCGCACGTGCAACACACTTTTTTGTTCATTTCTTTCCCGTTTTTGCACGACCACGACGTGAAAATGCCTAATTTCTCGTTTTATGGAGGACGTAAATAAGCAACGACGAAATTTTATTTCTCTTTCTGAGCTTGAATATGGTCTCTTTAAATTCAGCTTTAGGAGGGTTCGCCTACAATTGACAAAGTAAGTGGGTAGGAATAATCGCTATAAAGACTGAAAAAAATAAACATCAAACCAGAAATTGCTCTCTTCAAACTGTAAATTATAAATGATCCTGAGAGAATATTCAGTGTGTTAAGGATTTCCCTGCTCTACTGTTAGCTCTATACAAGAGAGGAAGGGCGATTCTTTTTTAATTTCGGTTTCGCTGACACAGCTTTCGCAGAAACCTCGCTGTAGTCGTTTTCGTCGACAAAAGGAATAGCAAAATCGCTCTCCGCGTCTTCCCCAATTTTGTTCTGCGTCATTTCGGGAAGGACGCGTGGCTCTCAGCGTGGGTCATCCATATGGGGGATGCCCTCTCTGTCCCCTTTATAGTCTCTTGGCAAGGCCGGCTTCCTATCGATTCAGAAAAGCAAAGTTAAGGCGGAAAGTCGTCAGCTTAAGTAGCTCCCTAAATCATATTATGAGATGAAGAAGAAAACAAATCGATTTTGGCATCTTCAGTCGATACAAGACTTCCACTTGTCAAGAATTCAAGGCCCCCTTTTGGAAAGCTAACTCCAAGTTCTCATGCAAACTTGGGTCATATTCAGATAATAACACCAATAACCCTAACCTGATAAGAAATTCACATCGAAAACCCTGGGAGCAAGGTTGTTAAAAAACCTATAGCGAGAAAATCCTGTTTCCTGTAGATTTAATTGGCTCCCCAAGCAAGCTCGACATAACGCATTAAGAACGTCTTATTGTTTTAAGTATGGGAAGCGTTTTTGATTTGATAAAACCGTTACGGGGGTCTCTGGTAATTTCAAAGTAACCGCCGAACAAGGTGATGCTAGCTAATTCTTGCAACAGCCACAACGTCGTGTTTCTCTTCTGTTTCCGCGTGACGTCATACTGGGAGAAACCATACGAAGATTTGCTTCCCAAAAGCTGGAAAAATTTGCTTTCCGAAGGAGTATTAGTAAGCTTAATTACAACTGTAGCTAAGTACAAAAAGCAGCACTAGATAAAAAACCAGCAACAATTTTTTTTTAGTCATCATGATATTTTCTAGTTATCCATTGTTGCAAGCTTGATGTTGTTGTGATTACTGTTTATGTTTCATTTGGCAAATGTACTTAAGGTAATTCCCTTGTTTTTCACTGTGCACAGTCTACTGCGCGTAACATTGCCACATCCAAGATGGCGGCGGTTTGTCCCACCAGCGAAAAGCAAAAGCAAAAAAAAATTGAACCCTAGCTCCCTGGAATTAAACAGAACGGGCGGCGCTACAAAATAGTCCAAAATAAAGATTCACAACTCCAAAGTCTCATCAAATTTTGACTTATCTCATTCCTTGGTATTTAATGTACTCTTTTCAAGTTTGATTTTCTGTGTTGGCAATATCAAACCTAAAACATGCTTGATCTCGAGTGCATACTTCGAACACGGTGGGCGTTATTTTGTATCTCGCCCCAGTCCCCGCCGCGCAAATTATCCATCCTGACTGCCGATCTCAAAACCATGTCCACCTATCACGGCAGTTTGTGAGGAAACAAGCACAGTGACCCCCGATTTTTTTCCGGCAGGACTTTTCCGCGGGTGGCGGGTGGCGGGTGACGGGTGACGGGTGACGGGTGGCGGGTAGCGGGTGGCGGGTAGCGAGTAGCGGGTGAAGGGTAGCGACTGGTGGGTAGCGGGTTAAAAATATATATGAAATAAAATATTATAACTCGTTATAGTGTAATTGAAGATATAACTGTATGTTGCAATTTTAAAATAATTTCAACGTTTATGTACTTGTCTTATCTACTTACGCGGACTATTTTCGATTTCTCAAATATGGGAAAAAAAAAGGAGAAATCATGCCTGTGAAAACAGTCACCTCTCGCCCTCTCCCTGCTCCGCACCGCAAGTGACGTTTCGCCAGGCTACACGCGGTGTGTGAAATGAAAATGGGCTATGTCAAGCAAGACACATGGCACGTGTCGAAGCGAATTTTTTGGTACATGTATCTCTACCATGCCTTGTTAAGTAAGCGGACGTGTGGTTAGAAAGACGTCCGACTTCTTAGCTATAGGTATAAGCTTCTGCAATAACGGGTGTGAAAGATAAATAACTGCGAGAAAGAGACTACATTTACTGTATATAAAACAACTTGGCAGGTCTATTATGATTATGGGGGGTGCGGGGTGGGGGTATGGATATTTTCTGGAACTACACAATTTAGAAAAAGTGTAATTTCCCCGCACAAAATATTGTTCGATGCTTATTATTAATAATGATTGTTGACAAGTTTGCCACACATACTTGTATATCACGGCACACCTTATGTCTAATAATAACCGAACAATTCACTACTGATTGAAGAAATCGTGATGTACAACGTCTTTTCATTCTTAATTGTTTTAATTTCTATAAAAGGCGGCAAAGATCTTGTTTGTCTAGTTTGCTTTTTCTTCCACATCAAGACGAAAGATGATTGCACTTCCCCAACTGTTTACCCGTGTTTAGACTCGGCCTTCGGCATAGGCGCACGGGCCGGGGGGGGCGAGGGGGGCTGCAGCCCCCCCAAAGTTTGGGCAACTCAGATTTTTTGGGCAGCAAGAGAAAATTTGGGCAAAGCCAGTTTTTAAAGACGTTTCCACGTTTTATTATTATTATTATTTTGAAGAGATAAATATTTTCTATTTTAACCAGAGGTCGGCGTAATAATTCAGTTACGTTCACACGAGACAGTGTTTGCCTAGCACGTGATGGGTTTCTGGTTATAAGGGAAGGGTATCATATGCTGATTTTTTGCTTTGTTGGGCACTGTACTTCACTGTACTAGCTGGAGTGGGCTATTTCCAGTCATGAATTGATTAGAATAAACTTCCGCATAACTTTCTAGAATCACCTCCGCTCCTAGAACAGTGTGTGACAGAACACGCATCAGCAATGGGTCTGAAAGTGAAGGGGCTGACCAATTCTCAGTTTGAATTACGAGAAGAATCATAATTTTCTTAAAAAAATCTATCGAGGGGTTTAAAAATTATTCACTAATTTGTTTAAGTAGACCGAAATGTTTACGAAACCCCTAACAAGATCGAGCGCTAATCAAATCCTTCCTTATAGCAATTGGCAGGAGCTATCTCCATGATCTTTCAAACACGTTTTTAATAAGATTGAAACTACTGTGAGGTGAAATTGCATGTCAAAAGCGCTCCGTTTTCTTCAGATTACGACTAAACATCAACATTTTCCCTGTTTACCTTATTTCTAACAATAAAAACTTCATCCCAAAATATCTCGATAACGCTCTTACAGTTCCGTTTTAACTTCACGAACATTGAGGCGACTACTGGAGGAAAGAGCTCCCCTGAAAGATTTTGTAAGAACAGTTCCCAGTGAGAAATATTGCTGCAAGTATAATAGGTAATGGCGTCATGTCGTTGCTATGACAGCTCCGATGTCATTGCAATCCTGATCATGACAAATTTCCCTCTTTATCTAATGCAACTGTGGAGGCAATTTTTTCCAAAGGCTTGTTTGTGGCGACGTAGTTTATGCTCAAACTTGGCAGGTATTGACTCTGAAAAACTTTATCGAGCCACTTTCATATGCCAGTACGGCCTATTTTGTTGCATGGCCCTAGTTTCCTTTTGACTGTTTTGTAAAAATTTGGGCAACTTGCAACAATTTTTTGGGCAAATGGATTACCGCCCCCCCTGGCAAAAAATTCCCCGTACGCCTATGGCCTTCGGTGTCGTAGCTCAGTTTTTGCCCTTCTATGCGGCATGATTGTCATCCTAATAGGTATTTTTAAGTAGTATTTAAAAAATGCAGATCCTTTTTGTATACATATACAACGAAATCAGTTCGCGTCCGAGACGCCACATGCGGCGAAAACGGTCCATGCTGTGTCAAAACCGTCCTTCTCTGGTACGCATTAACATTGACAGCTTTGTTGTTTTAGTCTCAGGAAAATTTCCTTGTTTTCTCGAAATAGACATTTTGTTCATTTTAAACTACAAGTCGGGAACCAAATTGGCAAAGATTTATTTCACATGCAATGTTTATCCCAACTTATAACAAAAGAACAAACGCACTTGTCAAAAATCTGAGACACTGTTCAAACATGTCGAGAAGAGAATGCGATCTTAGTTATCTGGTCTCAGGATAAATATTACTTTAATTTTTATGAGTTTCTCAAACTATCTCGTGCAAGCGATATCGTGGAGAACAATATTGCTAAAATATCGCTTTTCGTAATGTTTATTATCTTTTTTCTTTTTTTGGTTTCCACTTTTTATTTTTACTTTTTCTTATTTTTGACGGCCTGACAATTTGTCACCCGTCACCCACACCCGCCACCCTTCACCCGCTACCCGTCACCCGCTACCCTTCACCCGCTACCCGTCACCCGCCACCCGTCACCCGTCACCCGCCACCCGCCACCCGCGGAAAAGTCCT